GGCCTATTGTGTTACATTACTGTCGTATGTGTGTGTGTACATGATGATTCCCTGTTTATTTCATAGGTCAGCTGCTAGCATTGTAATGCACAGGTTTGTTTGAGCTTAGAACTGGTGTAAATATTAAGTGATTCTGGTGTTGTGTCAATCACGCCGTTGAGACGGTGGTCATCAGCAGTGCACTGGTTTCAGTGGTACCACGACACCAGAGGAGACAGCCACCGCAGAGAGGGAGGAAAAAACAGAATCCTTCAGACTTGAAACAATAATTGCTAAGAAGGTAATGACAACCTGTCCGTGTCAGGAGGGCAGCAGATGTGGCAGGAGGTTTGGCACAAAAACCTAGTCTATACCCTCAACTTCTTAACCTCCAAGCTGGAGGAGGTATCCATGACCAGTCTATACTGTGTGGTTTCAGTTCATACACATTTACGCAATAGGAAAATACATGACTGAAAGTGGTGCGACATATGCGTCTACACGAGACATGCATCTTGAAACGGTGCCCGTGCCGTGATGAGCCAGCTGTCCAGAGCCCAGAGGAGAACCTGCCCCACATCAGCTCAGAGGAGACTGACTCCTCCGAGCAGCTCCACCACGCCCACCTCCACCCACAGTCCCAGATGCGGAGGTTCTCACCTCTTCAGGTGCAGGAGAACTACCTCCCTCCCTATCCACCACCACACACATCAAGGAATGGCAAGGGTTCGACCACACAGGTTTGTAATGTAAAACATATCAGTGGCTGGTGTTACGGTAGAAGCACTTAGTTGTAAATTGTTCACACTATATGAGTGTTTTTCTTTGCAATAGCACAGTTAGTGGTGTTTGCCTTTACTTTGTGTTGTATTTTGTTGTAAAATTTTAGCCTCTGTCTACTGAGCTGCCATTCACGGGTTCTAGAATCCCACCTAGGACAGCTTTAAAACCTGGGTGTATAGTTTGCTTTGGCTTTGCCTCACGTTGCTGATTAATGCCTGTCCTCCCAGCTGTTCCTTTACTCCCACCCACAGGAAGTTACCAGGAGATCACGAAGCTGTGGGACCCTGGAGTGAGTCGTGGTTTCCACGGGCCAGATAAACTCTTTGGACTCTATTTGGGGGCTCCCCACTCGGTTGAGCTCCCTTCTTCAGCTGCCATTCATAATTAGGCTGAAGCTGCTGAGATTTTGCTGTTTTGAAGGAAGATTTTCCTGATGTCAGCTTTTTTAAAAAAGTGTGTGTAGCTAGTCCCATATTATATCCCAAGTTCTGTATATTGTTATATTCGTCACGATATGTGTATGAATATTAATAAATCCTGTGGGAGATTATACTATGAATGTTTTTCAAAGTTGTGTCACATGATACGTTTATAGAATGTTTACCTCCATAATTATTATTTATCTATGATGATAGTGACTTTACTGAAAAGAGATAATTTTTCCGTGCATGCCTCAACAACTTGGTAGTGAGGTAGAAAGGCAAGACAAAGCAAACAAGTCAACTACACCCAGGACAGCTCTTTCTTTAAGAAAAGAAGAAGAGTTGCCCTGGGTGGGATTAGAACCCGTGCATGAATTTGTTGGTCAATATTATTTGCTATAATATACAACATGAACTTTTGAAGTGACAGTCCACCGCAGACTACAGACTACAGAGCATTGGCATAGTGGTTGACAGGAGGTTCTCTGCACGTAGTCGGTTCAGTACTATATTATACTCAGCGCCAAGACCACCTCCTCCATAAGTCCGACTTACAACGAATGATCTAGAGAGGGCACACCCCCTAGCCTCGTTACTGAAGTGTACTGGGAACAAGGCTAATAATGAATGCCATGCCCACATTCTAAGTCGGCCTATGCGTATACCACTAACAAAGTGTCCATTAAAGACATTCAGTATTGTGTGTGTGTGTGTGTGTGTGTGTGTGTGGCAAGGTATTAAATGAAACAACATGTGAATAATTCGTAAGGGTGTGGCATAGGCAGCTAAATCCCTGTGGGGGCATTAATTCATACCACGCACCGACTCATGAACCATAGCTAGAGTATCATCTGTGGTCTCATGAGCTCCGTGAAGACACTGGTGATTGCCTCTTTGCCTTTTCTATTCATTTGGCTGTAATCTTCCCCAACAGAAGAAAGTGAGTTGATAAAAAGTGTATCTGTAGCACCAAACTCTATGTGGCAATCGATGGCTTTCAGATTGCGAGCTCGAGATAGGTATGTGATAAAGCATGAAGCAGGAGACAAATAATCTTTACTGGAGCATAACTGTCGCAAAGATGCAGAGTGTACTTGGGACAACAGACAAAACACAGTTGCGATTTTCACACAGTCGCAAAATGACTCATGCAATACCGTTGAATCAACTCTCAACACAATATGTGAAGAAGATTCAGTGGAAGGAGTTCACGCACTGTTTTGCTCCTTGGCCAATGACAAGACAGTTTCTGCCCTGGTCACAGTGACAGGATGTAAGACACTACTTCGGTAATGTTGTAAGTCACAAGTATGCAAACACTATTCTACAATACAGCAGCTACTCGCAGTCCTACAGCTGTACCCACCTCACCTTCTTACAAATGAAAAGCACTTGAAAGTGCATAACCCTCACCACTTTATTCTTCATTTCAGCAGCCAATGGCTACTAGATACACTACGTCAGTTTTTGGCACATGCGCGTACAATAGTCAAAAGCACTGGTCTTGACAACCCTCACCACTATTCAGCTACATTCTAGCTACACTACCTAAGTGACTCTTTCACTGACTGGATTCACTGGCGCGTGTGCTGCTCTCACTTCACTGGCAATCTCGATCGTACATCAATACAGGCAGACCAGTAAATCTTCTCCACACGCGCGAAGCATCTAGCATCTCAGTATAATACAACGATGGTTCGCGATCTCTATTGACGCACACTCACCTCGGCAGCCATCCGTTTCACCAGCTTCCCCGGCCTTCTCCGCTCCAGAATCTTATTTTACCATGCATTCCTCCTAGTTGAAAATATGTCCACGTTTCACGCTCAGAGTTGCCGCGGTTACCGAGAAAAACGGTGGACAGACGGACGGACACACGCACACAACCAACCGTAAAACCCTGCGCGCAGGCGAGGTGTTATATATAGTGCACTGCGAGCGGGAGCGATCTAACGATGGTGTGCATGCGCAAAAAAGCCTGTGTAGTCTGTGTAGTAACTGTAGTCGACCCTCTCTCTCCTCGGCAGACTCGGCGGCAATTCGCCTTGTCTGATAGCTTCGGATCTGTTGGAGCCTTGCCTGTTGCGTTTCCTCTGATTCCGCAGCACGTGTAGCTCTTGCTCGTACACGACTTCGCTAGTCGTGCTTCCCTTTCTTCCGCTGTTTCCGTGGCCAGGCGTTGCCTTGCCCGTTCCCTATCACGCAGTCGCCGTCGAGAAAGACGAGCCTCTCTTTGCTCAGAAGTCTCACAGGCACGACGTTCTCTTTCCCTTTCTCGAAGGGCATCTCCACTAGACCGATCCATCGCAGAAACTGTGGTTGGCTTCCTCGAGTTATCTACACGAGAAATATACGGTGTATGTAAAATTTGAAATGTTTTTCGGATAAAAAGAAGCGCGTGGACGAAAATCGCGCCGTTCGTAAGGTTAGCTTGCTCCCGCTCGCCAATTATACTCTCCCATCCTTGACAATAGAATCTCCCACACCTACTGAAACAGAAACACCTACTGCTCCAACAAAAACTTCAGGTAATAGTGCTTTGTCACCAGGTTCATGTTGGCTGCCGACATCCTTCATCGTTGACCTGTTCTCGCCTCCAGTTGGGGTCGTCTCGTTCTCACCCAGTTAGAGCCCCTCCTCCAAGAACATCGTCGACCTGTTCTTGCATCCAGTTGGGGTCTTCTCGTGTCCCTCCAAGGAACCCTCCAAGAATTCAAGAAAACTTCTGCATTGCATCTCTGAGTAGCTAACTGGGGGCCTTAGCTCTTTCATGGGTATACGCAATTATTACGTAAACTATTGAGTGGGCAGGAATATTTAGCTACTGGCACACAACCTAAAGCCAACTTAGTGTTAACTACTTGTTGGGAAATCCCCTGGAGTAACCGCAGAGGCCTTGGGGGCCGGGGGGGTGTCACACGCTGCGTGCACAGCTGCTTCTCTTTCTCAGGTGCCGCCGCTGAACGGCTTTCGAGGATGGATTTGCCAAGCTAATGGCTCTTTAGCAAGCAAAGGGGCTTGTCGGGTAAGCTATTTACCTCTATCTAGCTAGTGGTAAGCACTACAAAGCTAGCGTTAGACTATTATTAGCCTTACCTTCGAGCGTCGGCGGGGTGCTGTAGAAAGCTTTTCAGCTGTCATCTCTGGGTCCAAGCAGAAGGTAGCTGGCATTATCATGTAGTGTAGTGATGTAGCAACCTTCGCCAAGCAAACTAGTTGGCAAAAAGCGCGAGCAGAGTGCAAGAAGCTTTGCAAACAAACTGCTTTCACGATGGTCGCAAAAAAGCGTCTTCGCCCACACACGTAGATTTACGTAGGGTGCATAAATGCGCCTTCGCCCGCGAAAGAGCCCTAGGAGTCAGCTCTGCTCGACGTTGGCGACGGTTAAATCATAGCTATTCATATTTATGTGAATGTATACAAGAGTTTTTTTGAGAAACATCTTTGCTGCATCCGTGTTAACCATTTGGACACCATGGGTATCTCCTTAAGAAGCAGAAATAACCCTCTTAGTGTCATGTAATGCTACAGTAGTACAACGCTAGTGTGTATACTGCAAACTATCAAAGAACTATTCATCAACAATAACAACATGCTCGAAAATCCGCTGAGGGTTTTGCACTTCAGTGCTATTCATTTAGCCTTTTATTATTGTATATTGTTATCTAGCAATTCTACACTGTAACTTATTAGTTCATGTGAACTTTGTGCATTTCAGTTGAAATTACATCAGTCCACGTTATATTTTTAACCTCAATACCTCGGTCCCATGTGGAGACAATGCAACATCTCTCCAAAGCGTTACAAGCGAAAATAATGATCACAAGAAATATAAAAACAATGATCATTGTACTATTAAGTCTTTATCAATGCACACCATAAGCTACATTCTCGCCAGTGGGTATGGTAGTAGTCTGAGTGGTGACATACGCTGCATTAGGTTCTGTTCGAATGACGGAGGAGGAGGTTGGGGGCAGAACCACCTCATCATACACCACAGCATTTCTGGTCTGGACAGTTGGGGCTATGGAATGTATACATAACGGAGCCTCTTCCCAACAGTGCATGTGGCCCCACACATTAATTAGAACAACATTGTGCGTAGCCTCACCTGCACTTTTATCTTTTATTTTTTTGCTTCTGTACCGCCTGACTGTCATGAAGACTAGCACACCAGAGGCACATGATAAAACACATATCAATACAGCCCCTGCTGGATAGAATAAGTAAACATGATTGTTTTGACAAAAGGGTGTACCCCCAATGGCTATGGCAACATGTTGTGTTTGGGAGTTGTTTTTCTCATCTCTCCCACTTTCTGTTTCTTCTTTCTTTTCGGAATCCAGTGTCTTATCTGCAGTATGTATATATGCACCAAACTGCTGTCCATTAACTATAACTCACTAAGTAATGTTTGATCTGGTGCAACCTTATCAAACTTGATACAAATAACCGGCTCTTCCTCTGTTCCTGTTGTGCTGTCTTTTCCAAACAGTGCAAACGTGTAGTTCTCAGGATTGTCCACAGTGATAGAAACAGGGAAGTTGATGAGCTGAGACAACTCCACAACTGTCAGGAGAGGACTGCCATACTCTCTGTAGACCAGGACACATGAGGCCTCTGGATAGACCTCTGAGAATTCACAGTCTATAACTATAGTTGATCCTAATTCAGATGTTATATCGGCATCCTTTAATAGTTGAGAACTTTTAACCAATGTAGCACCTTTGCAAAATCAGGAATGCATTTGTATTATCTGGACTCGCAGTAGAATACCTTTGCTGATAGTTAGCTGACTCTCCAGTATCACAGCAGGCGTGGTGTTGGGTAGTCCATTCTCCTCAAGGTCGTATCCATACACAGTGTAAGTGGAGGGAGGGACAGGTACCGTGGTGGAGACAGTGTCCTGAGACTGGGTCCTCAGGAGAGCTCTGAAGATGTCAGGAGAGGAGGGAGGTCCCTCGAAGACCACTAGACATCCTGTAGCTCGTGACCCACTCATGAACTCCCCTCTCACTAATACTCCTCCTACTCCTCTCTCTTCCACTGACATTCTTTGGACATCATAGGTTGCTGTAGGAAATGGTAAACAGAATTAATGTACTAATGCACAAATGCAAAATTCATCCATATGTTTCATCTTACTGAAATATAGGTGTGCTATGGTTGCAGATACCCAGCCTTTTCTTATTGAAAGGTACATGAAGTATCTTTTGTTTGCAGGTAGCATTAGGAAGAGGAACACTTGCTCATCTACAACATGAATATCAGAGAAACTCTTGTTTGCTTCACTGAGAATTGGGTGACACACATTGCCAAGTCCCTGCATTAAAATCCCCATACAATTGGGTGCATTTCAGTTGGCTTTTGAAACGACTTACCACAACATTAAGGCTAACACTGCAGAATGACTTGCTACTAGGTGCAATGTCAATTATTGAGAGGGATATATTTCCACCTATAAAGCAAGCAAGTGGATTGTTAACCTGGTGCTATAAAAATTAGTGTGCATCTGGTGTGATAGACTCACTGTCACCAACCACGATAGTTGTAGCATTAAAACTGCTCTCTCCCTGGCCAGCTCCATTTAGGGGGATGACAGAGAAGTTGTGCACATGACAAGGACTGAGGTAGTCAGGAGTGAAGGTGTAGTGTGTCTCAGTGATATTGATACAGTCAGTACAGAGGATAGCTGTTGGGTTGTTCTCATCTGTCACATTGTAGATGAGGACAGAGTACCAGATATCAGGATCAACACCAGTCACATCCAGAGAGAATGGAGCACTCCACGAGATGGTCACTGAGCTGGCATTGCTGATTACTCTCATATCACCTACTGCTGACAGTGGACCTAAGATATGGTAAGCAATTTCCTAACTTCAAACTCATTTAATAACTAATACCTTGAATAGTCACTGTGGCATTGTCACTCTCCACGAAGGGGCCACCATATACCACACACAGACACTGAACTATACTTCCATTGTACTGGGCTCTAGCTGGGATGGTCAGATTCGTCACCAAAACACCTTCAGAAGTAGTAATCTCTGAGACAACCAGATCACGAAGTATGTTAGGCAGAAATATTTCTCGCTGTGTTCCATTGACTCTCCACAGAGTGGTCCCGCCTCTTGTCTCACATGTAAAAACTGCTGATTGGTTTAGAAAAACAGTTGTATTCCCGGGAGCATGGAGAATCTCTGGAAAAGATAAACAAAATTATAGACAACAATTCTTTTAAATAGACTATTACCTTGAGCCACACAAGATAAAGTAAGCAACAGGGCACCAACTAAACCTCTGGTTGAGAAATAGGTTTCCATTAAATCGTATTAGGCTGGGTTCGCTATTAGCACAGCGCACGGTGACTGGTGAGCGTTACATAACATTACAGTTACTCTCAGCGCCCTGCGCATGCGGTATCGATAATTGATGGGGGATACCCTTTGTATCCACGCATATAGTCTAGTCTCTGAATCTCGCGAAGAGTCTGACACTGGCAAGCTACACTAGTAGATAGCACGCCCGTTGTTGTGACTTCTTGTGCTTCTAAGATACAGAGCGATCGCATTAGGTCGCAGTAAGCCCTTCCTCGCTTGTAACGCGGACTCGCGTAGTGGCCGCTTCGCTCGCTCGTGTAATATATACCTGGACTGTAGCTATAACCCTCATGACAAGTACACAAGTATGAATTATGGCATACGTGAGCACAACTGCCGTTTTGAATTTCACACTCATTCACTGTGTGAACACTGACCCTCAGCGTATACGTAAACGCATGCGCGGTATATACCGGTTTTCGATGCCGCCTGAGCAGATCTGCCATCATGTGCCTCCGTGGAGCAAGGTCCACCTACCACCACCCAACCTTCTCAGGGGACTCAATGGATGTGGCTTGCTCAGAAGGCCACATCTATACCCAGGGACTGAACAACTCCCCTACAATATGTTTTGCCTTTTTTCTGGTTTGTATATTCATGTTCCTTTACCACTGTATATACTCGTCGTCTCTTGCCTGCTCGTGCATGGAGAGTGAGACTGGGGCTAGCTACACTACTTGATAGCATGCGAAGGCGATACACGCCCTGGGTTGCAACTTGCCTCCGAGGTACGCAGAGCAAGTGGATCAGACCGAGGTAAGCTGTGCTATATTAGCATATTGGCTTTTTCGTTAGCGTTCACGCCGTAACTCTCGAACGCAGCATTTTCAGTGAAAACCGCTCCAAACATCTGACCTTCATTGCCCGCTAAGTAGGTCGTATCGTTTGTGAGAGAACGAACATTGGAGAAGTGAGATGTTGAGTAACAGACAGACAGACACACACACACAGATCGTACCCTCGCTGCGCATGCGCGCCGAGGGTACCGGGAGGCATGGTCTTCGCTCGATGAGCTATACGTCTCAACCAAAGTGGGGCCTTTGCAACAATCATGAGTTTTTTCTGTCACAAACGACATCGACCGAGGCTCAACCTCATCTCCTCCCCTGGTATATAGGTCATCATGCATTTGTGATTTTCATGCAGTTTCAATCATATGTGCAGATGAATGCACGACTTATACGTATGTAATTGCGCACTTTTCCGCTAAAATAAAATGTAGCTAAAGGAAACTGAAGTCAACCATTATGTGTGAGTTTAAAAAGCACAATGTGCCAATCATTACTCAAGTGCACCTGTTTTTGAGGCAAGTCAGGCAGGGAGGCAAGTAAAATATCCAGCGGTCGCAATATCGACGGGTCGTACTTGTTCTGCTCCCATGGTGAGAAGGGGCTGATTTTGCCAACAGCTGGTATTCGATGGCTCTTGATCTGCCGTGGAGTTGGTGGTGGGAGTGGGTGTCGGTCACTCGCGCCTCTAATTTAATGTCCGTCCACATTCTGTCTTATGCGATTTCAACTACCACCAATGATAGTACACATTAAAGTGAATTCTACAACATATCGACAGGGGAGAGTGCTAGTTCTGTACTGTATATACAGCTAGACTTTGCTCTCTACACGTTTTGTCTGACTTGTGTATGTATGTACCTGCCATGCCCTAGTGAGTCAGTGCAATGATTGATTGAATAACATGGATACTGCACCCAAGTGAACTTATAGGTTGAGAGCTAACCTTGTCTTAGTTATACAAACACCAACTCTACTGGGAGGACGGATTCGAGTACTTCCTTTGAACACAACTTTGGCTCTGTTTGATAAAGTTAAAATAGGGTCTGGTCTCCTCAAGGAACAATACTTGCCAAGAGAAGGAGAGTTTTCCTCTCCTCCATCTAGTATATACTTCCACATAGTCAGTTGAACATGGAGCACGACCATGCACCGATCGCATTGGGCTCATTAAAAGCTAGCTATCTACTTAGTCAGTCATGTTCTCAATCTCCCACTCACAGTGGAAGTCTTCAAGGAGAGGGCAGAAGGAGTGTGGAAACACTTGCTGCTTCTTTTAATCTCCCTTCACATTGTATATATGGAGCAGGTTCTTCCATCTCCATTCAGAGCATAGCCCTCTCTACAGCTACATAGATGCAATCCCTCAGAACAGTGTCTCAAGTAAAAGTGCCATTTCTAAAAACCAGCACTCTTCCTCTAAATAATATTCTTAAAAAAACAAGGTGTATATTAGCATATTCAGAATTTAGCAAAGTTGGTTGTCAACTTTGGAAGTCAGGGTTCACAAATTTGGGACTGTGTAATACTATCCATACTACAGGGTGACAAATTTGTGAACCGAATTTGGTATTGCTGTAAAACGTGCCCAGTAATTGAAAGGTTCACAAATTTGTCATCTAGTCGCTCGGATTTTCAACATAATTAATCTGCTAATTTTGTCTCTAAATCAATTGCAAAAAAACATGAAAGTTTTGAGTATTTCATGAAAATCACACATATTCTGAAAATTGGAAACGGAAATTTTTTACTGGTTCATGCAGATATCTTCACACCCATGTTCATCAGTGGATCACTCATCAATATCTGGAAAAAAAGCTCGTAAACTTTA